TTTGTCCTTTAGAGCTTGAGAAGTGTAACAAACAAGAGAAATACTACGATGATCACACACAACAGAACCCGAGGTAGGAGGCTCGCTTTACAGCGCCATAGCTAAATCCTAGCAGGATGGAATCCTATACCCCGGGACACGTTGGAGACGCTTCAGCTTTTGGCTGCGAGCATCCCGGAATATGATCCCATCGAACCCTTTTCCCTGATAGAGCTCTGACAGCCCCTGAACTCCTGAACACTTCAGTCTGCCATAGTCTGCCTGCATGAAATCTCGGAAGTGGCCGCCCCACCAGTGGGAGAAGAAGACCTTCGGGATCCTCGATCCAAGTTTTCAACTATGGTGCCCAGATATGGGCCCTTACAGACTGCTTGGGACCCCAGGTTAAGGACCTACGTTGGCAAACCCATACTTGAAACCTATAATTAGATTTGAAACGAAGGTCTTGAGATGTGCCAAGCCGTTGCTTACTTGCGAAGGTAGAGTTCTGCGAGGGGTACATGTATATATACTTAGTTATTTGTTTACATCTATACAGATATCCCTCTGCTCACTGCATACATCGAAACTTAGCATATGTTAGGAGGACCCCCCACAGTGTAATAGAGGTATAATTGGACTATAATAAGACCCTAGCATAATCCCTGAACCCTAAACCCCAAGCATATGTCAGTGTAGGATGAATTTGTGCCACGACTGCTCAAGCTGAGCCGCTGTTCCTGGCCCTTGGCCAGAAACTCCACCTTCAACTTACTACTGCTTTTTAGGGGTTTAGGGGTTTAGGGTTTTGGGTTTACTCTGCTTTCAGGTGGAGTGGGGGAGTGAATATAGGGTACTATTGTTGAGCCATAGTCCCCTTAAGTAGATAGAATATGGGGTATATGGGGATCTTATTATAATGTACCCAAAGCCATATTCTATCTACCTAAGGGGGACTAGATACCTGCGGGAATTATACTGGGACCTTTCTAGGGATGCGCTCCCCCGCTCTCCCCTGTGCACGAACAATCAGGGCAACAGTACTTGGGGTTTAGGTCTGTTGCTTGATAGGATTTGGGTTTATATGGTATAGAAATGAAAAAATTCAAAGCGTACGGGTCTATAGGGTGTAGGGGCTTCATAGGTGTTGGGGTTTCGGGTTCCGAGTGAACTTGAAGCTTCCATTGGCTTTAACATGGCTAAGCTACTAGTAGGGTCTTCCTCAAACGTGGGAACCATTCAACGGAAACGACACTATAGCAGTGCCCCTAATTTCGAGTAATGCCCACATGAGTTGCTTGAACGTGGTAGGGCTGCACTGGGCACGTGAAGGAATTTGTGGATTTGCGTACGGATGTCTCAGGTGTAGGAAGGCTACTTGAAGGTACGTAGACCCACGCAAGAACCACCAAGTAGGCTCAATAAACGTCTGTGCAGACTTAAAACTAATCAGCATGGGCTTAGCGTTCAGTGGCTTGTATGTCACATCTAGAGACTGGACCCGGGCAGTATTGTGTTCTGAGGCCATTGCGCCATAGCAAAAGCTACGTTCTGCAGACTGGGTCGCTAGGCCTGATCTGAAGCATAGAAGCCATGCCAACCCAAGCCTGAAGGAGGTGAGGCATACACCTGTCCCCACGTTTCCTTTCTTGTATGTTCAGGCACTTCTGGCACCCCCAAGAGAAATAGACTTTGCAGACTGCCCGAGAGTTGGCAACATAAGGATATATGCTCATTTCAGCTGTGCAATCTTGAGATAAGACTTCTTGGTTTCGAGAAGCGACCATCTAATAGCACACAACTAACCCAACATAGCGGCAGGCAGGAAGTGCCGTTCAAAACATGCGCTCCAGGCAATCCAAGCAGCCCAGCTGTACCATCGTTGGCCAGTGATCTCACAGATTTCGCAGTAAGGATCCCAGAACGGAATCACTTTCATGATGACCTGAGGTACACTTCTCACTGTTGCTTGGTAAGCATTCGGGGAACGAATTTCTGCAGTAGACTACTGCTGAAGGCCTTTTACTGGTCTTTGCATCCTTCCTGCGATGCTGTGGGGTCTCGCAGCGCTGAGAAAGTTGTAAGCTAGCGATACCAAACCACGTATGGGAGTTCCGCAAAACATGAAGACCTTGGGGCAGAAGGGTTGCATACAGGATAGTCTGAAGAGTCCAATACTGTAGCAGTACCACTTCCCAAGAACATGTAACTTCAAATGTAAGCCTCCAAAATCAGAAAGCATTCAGCCCCGGATTCCCGATTCTTGCCGGAGCACCTCCGTGTTGATCACATACATGTTGAGATTTGACCTGACCATGGGTCACCGGCGTTTCTGGTAGGGCCTTGAATGTGAGGGTCTTTCAAGGGTTGTGAAATGCCTATGACTAGGTCCTTCGTGGCGGTCTACAACACTGCTATCACAAAGTTCTTAGTAAATCTGCTCTGGCCAGTCTGACTGTCTCGAGGAGGGCGCCCCTTCATTGCCAGAAATCTCAAGGGGCCTGCTTCGAGAGGAAGCAAACGCGCCACTTCTGCTACCAAGGACCCCCACAAATACCATGGACCTGGAGCCCTACTGCACCCGCCGCCCTAGATTCCTCATCTGACCGAACAGCAAACTGCCAGCTGGGGCTGAGGCCATGCTATTCGGCGTCCGAAATGGCCTGCCAGAATCCCAATCCCCATTTCTCATATTAAGTGAAGAATGCATAGCTTACCGTTTTTAGTTCTCTAGCCAACAACTATCTAGCAACTACAAAGCTGTCTTGAAGCGTTGCTTGTAGCAACACATCTCAGAGGTTCTGCTACCACCTCTTGCACCCAGACTGTTCTGGAGGGGCCAGAAGTTTGGGGTTCTTGAGTCCTGGGATCATTGCACCAGCTTCAGAAGTCTAGAGGCCAAAAGGTCAAATCCCTGAACCCATCATCGCAAATGTGAATGCAGCTTTCTCTGTACGCTTTCCTCATACAATATAGGCCGGCTGTCCACTGATCCACTCCTCATGCCCTTGCAAAGCTCTCGTTAACCTTGAAAGTACCGAAACATGCACAGCGCGCCAGTTTAGTCATAAAGCAGCAGGCAGCAATGTTTTTTTGAGCCTGTGACACAAGCGCCCAACCCCAATCTCCGTCAAAAGCTTCAACGCACGCTCCGCGGCCTTTCTTCCTGGATCTGTCGCTGGTGTACAGCAACAGGCCTGCCTCAGCTGTGTCATTCTCCATGCAAAGGTCATGCGAAGAAGAGAGGGGTTTGAGAGTTGGTGTCCGGCATGAATGGCTGGGATGAAGAACCTTACATTAAGAAGCTGAACCTTTTGCAGAGCCGCCAGACAATGGATCCCAAAAACAGTTGCACGCAAGAACCCAGGGCCCATCCAAACGAGCCAAGGCTCCTTGCAAAGCCTCTGGAGGTAGATTGACAGGTCTTGCAGCTGCCCTTAGGGTGCGGGGTATCAAGGCGAAATTGCCAGGACAGGTTATGCGCCGTATTTAGGGTTTTCTGCCAGGTCAGAGATTCATTCACGCTTTGAGTTATTGAGGGTTGGAGTTGGGAGCTTTAGGGGCTTTGGGCTCCTACGGTTGGGGCTTTTTGACGAACCCCCTGATCAAAAGGTGATGCCGCAGGCCTACTAGACGTCCACGGCTCGGGATTTATTATGGTTCGACCTTGGAGATGCTGAGTACAAAACCTCGGAAATGAACTAGGTCTCGGGAGATACGCAAATTGAGGTATGCAGCTGTTAGTCCGTATCCTTTCGAAGGTAAACCAACCTACGTCCAGACGCGTGTCAAAGACCTTGAACACACATTCCGCACCATTGCACCGCTAGGCCATTAATCTGTGCCCTTGCCAGCTTCTTGACCCAGGTATCAAGTTGAGCCGTAAGCTAATGTGAACCCTAGGAAGTCAGTCCTACAAACGAAATCTTACTGAGCAGGCGCGTCACCATGACTACATCTTAGCAAGAAGGACGCTGAACATGAACGGGCAGGTTGGTGGTTGGACCCAATCCAGTGGATTCACCCCCGAATCTACCTGAGAAGCACATGATGGCCCAAAGCGGTCAGGTGTCGGATCTTGATGGCCCGGTTCTGGTACCCAGGGATGCGCTTCCGGTGGTGCACACCATGGCGGTCCCAAGCTAGAGGCATACTCTGTGAGTGACTGGGAACAGTTGGGGACCGTAAGATCCCACAAGGACTGACTCTGAAGGTTGCTATATCTGGATGTGCTGGGAAGAATGCTACTACTTCCTCGTCCACGTCCTCATTCTCTATCAAAGTGGTCATCTGGATGGACGTGCAAACACGGAAAACGTCCTTGCCGAACGAGATGAGAGGAATCGAGTACTTGCTGGCTCGACCGTCATGTTTGCAAAACGCAAAGCAGTACATGCCAGTCCATCTACCTTCAACATTCTCAACTAAAACCTAGACCTAAGGGTAGGAGAAGGCAGCTTCTCCTTTGAGCCTGGGCGTTTGGTGCAGGCTTGGTCTTCGGAGACTTGGAGTTTGGAGGCTCTTGAAACACAACTCTATACAACACTCCCGATCTCATAGATTTCCATTTGCATAATCCTCATAGACTTCTATGATTACCACACATTTGGGGCTCAAATCGGCCCAATCCTTTGAAGGGGTGTTGGCAAGGGAAGAGTCTGACTTGGAGGGATGCAGGGCTACCGACACCAAGGGGGATGCTGGTCTCGAAAGGCTGTTCATATTTCACCACTAGAAGACAAAAAAATGCAAGTTTGCAAGCAAATTTCTGACCGTCTTATTCCAGACCTCATTGCTAGGGTGCTTCGCAACGTGAACCCTACCAAGTTGTAGGTTCTGCCCTGCGCACTTGGAAGCCGTTGCTGACATGAGGACCAGGCTCACCTGTTCCTGCTCAAGACCAGGCTCCCGCTACATACGCTCCCGGAAGACTATAGGCCCATTACACCATTGCGCAGGAACCTGGAAGGGACAGACCCTCATACTTTATTCAGAGACACTTCCACTTACAGTGCGGAGGCCTTCGCTCGTCGCGCAGGCGCCAGCCAGCGAAATGGCCTGCCTTTGCGGAGACTTCCTCAAGATTGGGGCCTTGGGGTCTCAGATACGGGCATGGAACCAACCCTCTTGCAAAGGAGCGCTAGAGTTGCAGAGGTGATGGTAGAAAAGCGCAGCAGGAGAACTAAAGCCTGAACCCGAATGAAAACTCTTGCTAGACAAGTGTAAGCAACCCCTTGGTCATGAGATCCGTTGCATCGATTTACAAGGGTTACTAGGCGGTCCCTCAGACCTGGTGCCTGCAACAGGTGATGTTATGTATGCTAGAGTATGTTTGAAACCTTCAGGCCAGGGATAGTTGAGGCATAGAAGCAGGAACAGGCACCGGATTCCAGCAGCAGACTGGGTCCCAATTTCGTACTAATTCAATGAGACAACCTCTTGGTGCATTCGGTGAACTGTATGGTCAAACATCGCCATGTACGGCATGTTCAGAACCTGACTCATGTACAAACGTGTGTGACCTGGTATTATGACAACTGCGAGGACACTCAGACCCTGCATCACCCTTCTGCCTGGGTTGCTTGACCCTCTCCCCCTAGCCTGTGCCAGCCGGTGGCGAAAGCCAAGCCGGGTGGAGCCTTCGAAGTGTGCCTGTCAAAAGTGCTTGCAGCCGAATTAAACGGAGGGGGCTGGATCAGGGGCGTTGGGGACTACACGGCTTTCAGTTAGGGGATGATGTGGGTCCATGGTGCGTGAGGAAGGCCATATGAGAAGAAGTGTAGATGATGGTCAACCAAGGCTCAAGAAACTACGGGAGGTGATGCTCACATCCATAGCAGGCCGCGTGCCCCAAAGCCCCAAGCAAATTGATTTTTCCTGGTAGCACACGCCATTTTGTCTCAAGACTCATCCAGGAGTCCCACGGAAACATACAGCACTAAGCCTAGGCTCGCAAAACTGCGAAATTGGGGAGGAGCCTGCTTCGATAAGACACGGAGAAGCCTAGAATTAGCCTGCAACAAAGGGCCTCCTCACGGTCCCCCTTCCATGATGCAAGGCTCTTCTACGACTGGGACGTTCATCGGCGATTGTTGTTTTCGTCGACCTCCTCCTCCTCCTCCTCCTCCTCCTCCTCGTCCTCGTCCTCGTCCTTGTCATCGTCCTCGTCCTCGTCGCGGTCGTCGTCGTGGTCGTCGTCGCTGTTATGGTGTGACCGCGCTATAACTTGTGTATCGCCCGTCAGTACTCTAGGCAAAAAGTTGAAAGTCTGTAGCAAGCCCACGTTCATCAAGGTCACTCACTACTCTCCATGCATCTCATAGCACGCAGCGTCCGAAACTCTTGAGCCTTCAGCCTTTTGAGGTACGCCCCAAGAACCGAGACCCGCAAACGCCACATTAAATTGAGCACCAAAACGGTACCTGTAGAAGCCGAAAAGCTGAAACAGCAGTACCCCCCACACCCCAAGACGCATGAGTAGAGAAATGATCCATTTTCCAAGCATTTTGCAAGTTCATTCCCTTATTTGTGTACCAACCCCTATATGACCCATAATTGACTATATAACCCAATAACCTTCTAAACTGTGAACTCCAAAACGCTGGAACCTGTTCCGCAGGTTGTCGGGGCCTGATACTTCAGCGTCTCACAGAGGACCTCCGCGCCATCTGCCTCAGCCGTAGGCGTAATAAGTTTAGGGTTTCGGGTTTGAGGGTTAGGGTTTAGGGTAGATTGGGTCCTACTTCTACCAATTAACGGTCTATAATAGGGGTCATATTAAGAGCCATATAAAACTACAGTACTAAAATTTTCCAACTATTATAACGAGTGGAGGCAATACCGAATGTAGAAGGCTAAAGATCTACTGATATGGAGAGTCAGATGGGGGAACGAAAGTCGCAAGGTGAATGGAAACTGGGCTTGTGATGGGGTCTACAAGGATTACACGTACTGTAGAGAAGCCTAAAGAATCACCGTCAACACATCCTTTTGGAGGTATCCAATATTATAGTGGTATAAGGCATCGCGGGCCGTAATAGTTCTTTACGGCCTTCCGTTAAGATGCTGAAATCAGGATTCTTTGCGAACTGTATGGGGGTTATATACCGGGATTCTGTAGTGATGATAGGGTGTAGGCCTACAGGAAATGGGGATCCTTTAGGAAAGGGAATATAGTGTTCTGTAGAGATGACAGTTCGTAGGCCTCAGGGCAAGGTCTACAGCACTGGCGGGCGATGAGAATTGCTTGACATGCTTTGGTTCGAAGAAGTGAATGTGTAAGAAGAGTCCCCCTGACCCGTGAAAACAACTCTGAGACCAGCAGCAGATGGACCTCTTACTCGCAAGTTTGCAGGACATTGCGTCCGTCTCGTTCTCAAGGTCGTGGGCGTCCCTTGACTGCTCCAGTCGTACTCAGAAGAGGCCCAAGTGCCCCCTGACATTCCATACTCGAACTCATATATACCGTTTCTAGTCAACAGTCTCTCCTGAAATTTACAGGCCTTGCAACGACCTTAAGAGGTTTGGAGAGGGAGAGTGATGCCGCCTCTCGTCTTTGACCTCCCAAAGCCGATGCTTGTATAACCGAAATCAGAAACACATGGTCAAATCGTCAGTACCTGTAGCTAGATCAAATCCTGCTGATTACTAGTTAGAAGCTAAAGCAGAAACTCTGAACATGTTGTCCAAGTAGGGGCGGCACCAAGGAGGCTGCAATGGCAGACTCCTGCTTCATGTGTGCTATGAGAGAAGACAGTCGTCATACGAGGCAGGGGACCAGCAGGACTTGCTGAGTCGGGCCAAATCGTGTAGCATATCTGACTAAGGAGTCCCCCTTGCGTTCACAGGAAAGGTTTAAAAAGAGTAGAAACAGGGAAGACGCCTTTCAAGGTCAACTGGAAGTTCACAGGACTTGTGTAGCTCTGCTGTCGCCCAGAGACCACTAAACCCTCTACGCAAATACCCTTCGGAGGGCAGTCTGGGTGATAGTCCAGTCCCCTGCTGGTGCAGACGCAATAAGCCCCTCAATCCTGAAACTAGCATGATCTCTCTTTGGATTGTTAAAGGAGCAGCTGTAGCAATTGCATGAGCTGTAACACCGAGCCCCCTCAAGCAAGAACAGAAAGTGGGTGTCTGCAAGAGAACTGTCGGAATTGTTTGGTGAGGGGTGGCCAAAAAGTATGTGCAACTGGAATCCTGCTAGCAGGAGAATTCCAGGACTTTGGGAGAAGTACTCCGCGGAGTTCTGGTAGCATGCAGCTCAGTAAAGATCTTGACATACAAGATTTTCGAAGCACACCCTTGCCAAAACATGCCACCCCTCACATCAGTACCCGTTTAGTAATTGAGCTCTATGTTGAGGCCTTGATTAATATCTCTGATGCCTCCCCTCCCCTCACCTCCCCCCCTGCCCTCCTTAACAAAAAGAAACCAAGACAGCCGGTGCCTCGCGTCTCTTCCCGAAGTCTCCCGCTGCGCGGCCACCGGCTCCCGTGGTGAGTCCCATCTCCTTTGGCTTTGTTGCCCTCCCAGACGCACATGTATGGATCCGGCGTTGCACAGCAGGGGCCCCAAAAAGAAAGTTTCCAACCACGATTTTGAGCATCCTTGTGGCTGCAGCTTTTTTGGGAGGGCCGGCTTCGATCTTCCCTTCCCGATGGGATTTCGTAGATCACGCTGGACATGGCAGACTTATAGCATTACGTTGGACACGTGGCACATCCGAGCCAGTTGAGGTGAGGCGTTGTGGCCCAAAAATGCTCATTTCGTATTATGCAGTGCGCAAGTCTTTCAATTCCTAAGTCCCCCATAGAAAACTGAGGAAAATCCACTTCTCCCCATAGCCAAGCCTTGGTAGGTTCCTCAGGACTGAAAAAGCATGGGTCCTCGAAGAGCGGCATGGTTCCCATGGCACCTTTCGTTTAAAGTCCGCAAAGCTTGGTTGCTTCCGATATGAAAATGGTGATGCCATGTTGGGGAGATTGGGTAACGTTCAGGGTTTAGAGGTGACTTGGGCGGTAATATATATATATATATGTATATATATATATATGTTTTCATGTTCTTTTCCATTATCCCTATATATCCGTAACAGACATATACCCCATATGACCCCTGTATAACCCCTATATAAAACAAAGGAGGGCTGGGAGGATGCTGATGCAACTTCAGGGACTCTTGCAACAGTGATAGCTGCCTTCCCGGCCAAACCACTCACCGTTCTTTCTGCCTCGAGCAGAAAGAGCACCCAGTTTTCTTTGAGGCATGAGATCCTGGAAATTTCGCTCTCGCATGTGCTTGCGATTTTCCTCTGACCCAGACCAGATGATCTGCAAATCAAGTACAGTTGAACGGACCCAACCCAATATTCAGGGGCCCCTGAAAAAGGCATAAGATACGCAGATCTGATCATGAATATTGCAAGCGAATTCTCGCCCGACTTGCAAGTTCATCGGGGTGATCTTGTCCAGGACCGGCCACCCCAACATTCACAGAGATTCTAGTCGCTACATCCCAGCCCAAGCCCTAACCCCGCAAACTTTCAAGCATGTGGAGACTTGGGGAAGCATACCTTTACTCCTGACCAAGTGCCGGGCCGACAAAGGCCCGATGGAAGAGGCCTTTGTACTTGGGCTTTTTGAGAACCTGGCCCGCGATTCGGACAGGGCTCTTCAGGAGCTTTCTTGGGGCAAACTTTGGGGGCTTTGGCATTGCTGGCCGGATGTCTGGGAGTCTGGGCTGTAGGAGCTCTTTGCGCAGTTCAAGATACAAGGTTTATATGGCTATAGGATTTCAAGCCAAGAATAGCAGGCAGGCTAATATAAAGACGTCCAACAACCTTTCGGCGCACTGGTTAGGATGGTACATGTACAAAAAGGATCGTCCTGCAGGCAATACTGAAGGCTATCAGAACTGCACTTCTTGGTGTGTTTCGGTGATGGCTGCCGCTGCGAAAGGGAGTAGAAAGAAGTAAGATGAAGTAAGTGTTGAAAGCTGTCCCGATGCACTCAAGACACGTCTACCAAGCGTGGCAAAGAGTTAAAAAGTTGTTGCGGCATAACTCGCACGTAGGCCTCGTACAACAGTGATTAGGATTCCTGGAGAGACGTGCGATAGGGAAACGCCGATGCTCCTTACCAACATGTTGCCCTCGATCTGCGTCGCATCTCGTCTGAGCAGCATCTCTTGAATTAATGAGTTACAGTGCTTACCAGGACATACTATCCAGGCATCTCTGCAAACATCATCTCCCACTTGGTTGGGGCCATTGATATGCGGATTTATGCTGCAGTACATTTCCCACTCGAAGAGGGATGTTTACGCTTGGTCACGCACATACTGAAGCTTGGCCCGTATGGTAGGTTTTCGGAGACTAGAGGGCCCAAACATGCAAGGGATGCCCCTCAAACTGGGATTGCTCAGAATCAGGCCCGTCTCGGAAACTCCCTAGTTAAAAGCAGCCAGGTCTAGCTACAATGCGCTACTGTGGTTGATAAGTCGGTTGTAATATGTTGTGTGCTTTCCTACCTAAATCCTAGACCACATATACCCCCAACGCAGACCGGCACATCCCACATACGATCTGTAAAGACAACTGTCTGACCAGTTCAAAAATTTGCCAAACCTAAACCCTGCATACTGGGCCCAAGCTACCAGTTATTGATAAGGCGCTTAATAAGCGTATAGAATTAGAACACTTCTGATATGCGGGAACTGTCATAGGGTGGAGGCAGTCTCCAACTGAAACCATGCGCTCCCTTCTTCAAGGCGCCTCCTTCAGATCTCCGGCCAAGAGCACAATCTCCACGCCCTCAAGCGTAGAACTTAGGCGTCTATCATGTAAGGGAGATCCGTACCGAAATATGAACCCACGCATATGGGATTAGTGAATGGTCCAAGCACAAAAGGACATGGCAGGGCTCGAAAAGGGGCTGTAGCATCCTAAGCTGTGCGTTCCGCGCTTCTCAGTTTAGGGCACGACGGGTTTGAATGAAAGTGATGAGCATGTGCTAATGCGAGATTACAACTTAGTGCCGTAGCATTTGGATCGCGTGGGTGGGTTTGTTTTGCTTGGGGTGTGGGGGTCGACTTGTTTCGTTCTTGAGTTAGGCAAACGTGAGCTTTGCACAACGATTCGCAGATTATCGCCCTTATCAGCAATTCTGACTACACTGCGTCAAACATCCTTCGGCATGTGTTGATTTCTCATGAGGGCCTCCCACCACAACAGATGGCTACGTACGTGCCAGCGAAAGTTGGCAGAATTTAAAATGCCCGACTCAAGCTCCGGTTTCAGTAAACCAGACAGGCGGGAAATCACAGAAGAAAGGTCGAGCCTCACCCTGGCACCAGTGCTCAAGATATTGTGGGGTGCAAACCTTAACTTGTTTTAGTGAGGCCCCTGAATCCAGAGCATGTTGCCAGAGCACAGCCTCCATGGCTTCGCTGAGGGGTGGCCAGTTCACCTGAGCAGCTTGGGGCATCAAACGCAAGTTTTGGGCCCGACAGCAATCAGATTCGTCTGCGTTCTGGCTTTGCTGGTTGCTGTTCGAAAGCGACACCAGCTGTTAAAGAAAAACACCTGAGGTGTGCCTTCTTGGAACCAAGGTTGCTTGCCCTCGAAGATGACTTTGGATTTGATATCAGATCTGACTTAAAGTCGATTTCAAGTCATGCTCGGAGGGNNGTAGTCAGCCAGGGGCTTCACTTGAAATCGGGTTCAAGCCCTACAAAGGCGGTATGTCAAAGCACAAGCAGGGCCTTAAAATTGATTTTAAGTGCTTTGTTGTGGCGCAGCCCCCTAGGCCAACTTCAAATTAAATTTGAGTCTGACACATGCTCCTCTTTGCTACTAGTGGCAAAGCAGTTCTTGTTTCTCTCTACGGAACTGCTTTCTTCTCCCTTGTGCACAGACTATGGACCTCTGCTCCAAGGTTTGTGTTCCTGCGGACTTATCAAAGGGAACTCTCCTAGAGGTCAATGGCTTTTACCTGGCATTGTTTAGGGGGGCCTTTAGGTTTGAAGGGGACCAAACCTGCATGTAATTTCTTGTTGCTTGGGATCTCGTAGGGTCCTTTGGAAAGGACTCTCCCAGAAGACAATTTCTTCTTACCTGGCGTTGTTCAGGGGCCTGCAAAGTTTGCAAGGGACCGGACGTGCATGTAGTTTCTCTTTACTTGGCTGTTCGAGAGCCCTTTGGAAAAAATGGAACTCTCTAGAAGACGATGTCGCTTTACCTGGCATGACAGTTTTTATTAAGCCTCAAACCCTAATCCCCATACGTTTTCTGAAGCCCCGCATTATCTTTTTACCACCCTGACCAAGCTTGATGTCTGCTCTCGTGCTCCTCACTACACAGAGAACATGTTGCATACTTTGCATACTGACTTTACATATACCCTAAACTTTATACCCTGGAATGACAGTTCTTCAGAAAACCATCTTCTGAAAGAGTGGAACGTGTAGGAAATCAGCAATATAGGCCTAAATTTGGTTCTGAGACTTACGGGAAAAGCTCCGCATGAGGAGAGGCTGAGAACGATTGCAAATGTTCACCATGGAATATATGCTTACAATCGGCTTGAAGGTGCGCTGCAGAATCTCTTGTGCGCGGAAGACTTACAATCGATTTTGAATGTTTACCATAGAATATAAGCTTAAAATGCGTGTTAAGACCCCGCTCACGAGCAAAACACTCAAAATAGATTTCAAATCTCTGGAAGCTGGAGGAACGGGAAATGGAGATTGAAAATCGATTTGAAGTGATCTGCACGGCTTCCCCCAGGAATGCCCTAGAATCGATTTCAATGAATTCAAGTGACCAAATATCTAAATCCGAGACTGTTGAAAGCGTGACTTAAAATCGATTTTAAGTGAACCTTGAAATCAAAATCTAATGTTACTCTTGCCCTTGATGACATTACGACCAGCTACTCACCTTCACCTTCGAGTTGCAACCATCCCCAACACCAGTAAATGGCAGCACAGGACCAACTGACTTCACATAATCGATAGCAGACTGCTTCGCAGCAGTGGCAGTGGCGATATTGGGGTTGCAGCTGCGGCGACGACGAGTTGGAGGGGAGTTAATCGCTACCCTCATTGGACGTCATCGTCATGTTGTTGCCAACCGCGCATAGAAAACACAAGCTACAACACATTGCAGACAAGTGCTTGTGGAGGGCTAGCTTGAATGACAACCAGGATTCTGGGAGCAATGCTGAAGACACATGGTCCAATTCGCTAGAAACACGGGGACTGCTTGAACCGTTTTCTTAAACTGCGGTACCATGTTGTGTCCAATAATCTGTCTCTGTATAGTCCTCATCATAGGCACAACTGAACATTTCAAAAAGGGACGCACAATTTCAAGAACTCCCCACCTCCCAACCTCAACCCTCCGCATCACTCCCAGTCCCATGCGGCATTCGGGTCTGGGGTTCACGAGTTGGGTCTCAGGGCTCCTGGAAACCCCTAATATGGCCGGCCAGAATAAAGACCTTCAATATCATGGCCAAGTACCCTGTACCATAACTGCACGAGAAAACTGGGACCATAACATTGGCAACGACTTTGACCCCTACAGCAAGGACCTCTGGATTCACGTGCAAGCCTTTTGGAACTCAGAACTGCGCTGACTTCTTCTCGCGCCGCCCTCGGGAAGCCTTCGCCGGGTCTTCCTCCACCACCTAGACCGGTGTCAGAGCGCAGAAGGCAGGAGATTGGATTTGGGGTTTAGGTGAAGGTTCAAGGCTTGAGATTTAAGATCTAGGTTTACGGGGGCTCAAGAATTGGGGCCTGAGGGCTTAAAAGTCAGAGTCTGCGTAGGGTTGAGAGTTTGGAATTTCAGGTTCACGTGTCGAACGGTTTAAAAGGGTGGCGCAGGGATTGTGTTGAGAAACCCGCGCCTTTATCCTAGAGTCCAGAACACCGGGTTTTATTCGGGCAGAAATCCCAAGGGATTTAGGTCTAGGAATAAGGTTTTGCAGGTGCCTGTGTTTTCTCCGACCTAGGTCCCTAGCAGGCCTCAAAAAAGTATCACCCCACAGTACAGTTCTAAAGACCCCAACGAATTTAAAAGGCATGCTCTCATCCTATATATAGATATATATGTATGTATATACAAATATATATGTGTATAGATATATATAGATATAGATATAGCTAAACCTCGGGGTTGGAAGGGTTTGCGGTGCGACTGCGGTCAGCTTGGGATCAGATTGAAGCTTTTAAGCTTGCAGAGTTGAATCTCGATTAACTACTTGGAGGGTCAGGGGGACTTAGTAAGTAGGTTAACAGCCCCTGGAACCCATATTAATAATCCTAGTTGTCCCAATTATTAACCCACTTACTTAGTCCCCTTGACCTCCAAGTAGCGTTGGATTGAGCGGCATTCAAGCAAGGTTATATACTTCTTATACAAGAAAACCCAAATTAGAACATAATATTGGGACTATAATATCCCCAGATAAACAACCACTAGTCAGTTGGGGTGACTCATGGACATCTCCTGATTAATTATACCTGGGACTTTTCCCTACCTTGGTAGCAAGTGGCAAATCGCTGCGGGGCAGTGCAATATGTGCAAGCGACTCCAAGGTCATCTTTAAGCCCTGAACCCTCAAGCCTACAACATATGCCCTAAGCTGTTCAGCTTCCTGAAGCCCGAGATACATCGCACGTTTTTGGGGCTTCTTTTGGGGGTCTGTCCTATCTTGGGCCGCGTAGCGGTCTAGCTGAAATCCCAAATCCTAAACAAACCCTGGACTCAAAACATTGGAGTTTTACACGCTTGGGTTACTGGATTCCGTTTTTTTGAAGGCGCTGTTCCAATCCACAATCCCGGCAATAGTGATCTTGACTATGTGTGGCATACGGGGCGGCTCCATTGTGGATCATATCCATGGTTTCCTATTCGCGTGCTGTACGAGCATTTCCTACAGTCTGGAAACGCCTTGCGTAACTTTCGAAGACACCACCAAGCGTACAGCGGTGGCCTAACGGGATGGACACCAACCCCAGTACAGCACAGCACGAACCGCCATCGCGCATTCCCGTGCGCGAGCTTTTGTACCGCAATCGTTTACCTTCGAAGTGTTAACTCGCGCAAAGGAACTTTCAGGGTAAAGGCTTTCGCCCTCAGCAACAGGCTCTAGGGTTTGGGATGGCCCCATGAAGTCCCATGGAAGACGAGTAGCAAAAGTATAAACCTGTGCGGATACCTTAAAAAACTGAAGAAAAATCGCCGCGCCTAGATGTGAGTCCCCCACCCCGAACCCAGACATGGATACTGTACAGGTACTCTCCACCAAGTTGACGTGGAAACTCATACAAACCCCTTTTGCAAATGACAGTTGTTGTTGTAAGGCACCTTGTGGGTTTCCCTGTCAAGGCAAATGACAGTGTATACTCCAGACGTGATGTCTCAGCCGTCGCAGCACCCGAAGCTTCAAGCAGGGGATGCACATCGTATAGTTGACCAAAAGCCATGTCAGGGCGGATTTGTCTTTCAGGACTTTGGAATATGCAGGTTCGAGGAGCTTAAAGGGGGAATGGAGCGGGTGCACGAAATCATGTGAGGCAGGGTTGCCAGTAGTGGCACTACCAAAAGGGTACGCCACATACAGATGGCTCAAAAGGTGAGGTGAAGGAAGGTGGGGCATAGGAAATAAGTTCAAGTATGAAGGATTCTACAATATGGATCCTTTAGCCACCTGCCTTCATCCCACCGTTTGAGCCCTCTGACACAACTCACTCACACATGGATTCTTGAGGAGCACCCGATGACACTCACCAATCCAAGTATTCCTGATCTTTTGGGGCACTTAGAACACTACGGCGATTGTCTCAAACCCTGAACCCCGATCATGAGCAAGTGTAAGTAGGGCATAGGGTGTAAAGTAACCCGAGAAAGGCCATAACTGAATACAGCTACGGTACCCGGATCATCAATAAAGTATAACACCCTATGAGCCACTAAGTGAACATTGTCAGACATCCTGCGAGTTCGAACTGGTGTCCAGCGACCTTGAAATAGAATCTAAGTTGGGGGGCTTCTCAAAAATCTTCGGAGACATACAGCCTCATGGCGTGAGACACATACTTACTCTCCCTTAACTTAACGCCCTCCCTCTAGGGTTTAGGGCTTAGAGCCTTCAAGCCCGCAATTTCATGAAACATCCAATCGTCAAGCTCGCAGAGGATGAAGCTTGGGGGGCTCAGAGGTCCCTCTCTAAGGGAGATATAGGGGTATATGTGCCCGTGATTAAACAAATCATGTATGTATGTATGTATGTATGTATGTACGTATGTACGTATGTACATATGTACGTATGTACGTACGCTGTATCTGTATATATGTACATATCTATGTATTATAGGGGCTATACAATGAGACCCAAGGAAGAATGGGGTTACGAATTTAGGGCTTTGGGGTTTAGGATTTTAAGGCGATATGGGGATGAAATTCAAGCCAGTTGCATGGGACTCATCGAAACAGATGGGGATCCCTTGTACAGATGCCTGAAACCCTAAGCCCCTGAACTCTAAATCTGAAAGCCCTGAACCCTTAAAACCCTAAAATATAAAACCCTAAACCCTAGCCCTAAAGCCTAAAACCTGAAACCCCCCAACCCTAAAGCCTTAGAACCTGAAACACATGAAGCCTGGACCACTGGTTTAGTTTTAAAGCAGCTGAAGAGAAGGCCTTAAGCCAGAATCTTTAGAAACCTCACGGAGTATAAGGGAAGCAGGGATTAAGGTGTTAGAGTCTAGGGATTTGGAGTTTAGGGCTTAGGATGCCCCACCAACAATGGAGCATCAAAAAGAAATGACCACTAGCCAATTGGGGTTTGGAGTTCATTGGCGAGCTGCTGGTTGCATTTAGCTATAATCCAGCTTCGGCTGTATGAATATTGGCTACAGTACCTGCTGTCCCAAGGTGTCTGCAAATTTGTGTCGTGTGCCTTGACGCCAGGGGGCAGAGATACTGCAGCTTCTTTTTAGGCAACAGTCACAGAGTTCCGTAAGGCACGCGGTGCTGGTTGCTCCAAAACGCAATCGCATGCAGTGCAGGGACACCAAGTGAATCCCAGCTCTGCAAACGAAAGCAAAACCGTACAAACTAAACCCAATAAGACCTCGGCCTAAACTCTCCGTTTTGACCTGTGAAAAACATCATGCACCCAGCCGGGCCTTCTTTGGCTCTTCCTCTTTGACCTCCTGCACCTTACCAGCCGGTTTTTGTCCGCGGATAGAATGGCAGCGGGAATTTTCAAGTACGCTTTCTGAAGAATTGACGAAAAAACATGTGGGGGAAAATACCTGCGTCAGCTCCCTGCTAGAATTTCTGGGATGTGCTTTGAAAGAGGGACTTGAACTGCTTGCTTGCGAGTGCACAAGGTCCCCTCAGAAAGCGGTGGGGCTGTCGGTCCTTGATGCACTTGCGTTCTGTGGGGTAAAGCCGTGATTGCTGGACTATATAGGTCAGCGCTGCGGATGACCTCCAAAGCCATGAGAGAACATTGCCTGCAAAACGAATGCCAAAAAAGAGCACAAGAGCTGGTGGATCCTTAGATGCACAGCTGCTTACTGTTGCCAAGGGTTGGCAAGGTCGTACCACTTTGCGAGAGCCGTCTAACCCCTAGATCCTACATACTCAACTCTTACAGCATAACATGTGGAAGGGTGATGAAGACACCTTGTCTGCGGCGCGGAGCTCATCCAACGGAGAGGCATAAGGGTAGGTAAACTCCTGTAGAGCTCAGGAATTGGGGTGTAGGTGTATAACATTTTGTTATTGTCCAGGATTCTTTGTCCAAAGCCTTGCGAATGTTCTTTGAAAATCCTAGCTAGGTAAACTCTGCTATTGAAAGGAAGCAGCATGTCCAGTTCGGGGTCCCGGGGAGTCAGGTTTATTCACGACTTAGAGATTGAGTGTGCGCGTGTTCTTTCTTGAAGTTCAGGCCTTGTCAGACCTCTAGCTGAGCAACATGCCAAGGACGCTCTTCAATCATTCGGCTCTAAACCTGGAACCCTTGAGCCACCTTCATATCGGAAGAGGCCATTAAGAGTAACAGCCGTGTTCCTTGAACCCTGAACCGTAAACTGCATGCCTCTGTAATTTTCCTGTGCTCCGCAGGATCTTCGTTGTGTTTTGGCATTTACCGGGCTGCTAACCTACTTGCTTCCGTCGCTGGTCCAGGTACGTTCTCTCATGGACTATGCATGTCTATCGAGTCTCGGATATCACTCACCAGTGCAATGCCCAAATTCCCTGGCTTGCCGTACAAGCTAGAGCCCCTCAATATAATGGCCCAACATAACCTGCAATGTCAAGGTAGTTCCAACTTTCTTTCCATTCCCAAGCTTACGGTAATTTCCAAGCCGTGAACTCCAAGCCTCACTGTACATCCTTGAGCCCTAAACCTTCAGCCTTAGCGCCTGCATAGGGGTGTCTGGAATATCAAAAGAATGTCACAGCAACTGGAAACTACTGTGTTGAGAGTTGAGCGTCTAAGTTCCCAGTACCATGCGTGAAGTCTGAAAGCAGGGAAGCCCACCAAGTGTATTCCCTACGTCCCTGCGTTCTAGCTACTCATGCAGGACTCTCAATTTGTGGCTCCTAAAGCCTTAAGCTTAAGACCTAAGTATCTTACATCTTACATGTTGACTCCCAGGAGCCCTACAATAGAATGCAGTTTCCGTGGAGACTATAACCCCTTCTGAAAATTGGAGCGACCTGTAGGCAATGGGGATTTGGAGAAACCGGGGTCCCAGTTGAACATGAAATGAGGGTTGGAATTGGGAACAAATTACGCCAATCCCAAAATGATCCTCATCTGACGGGTTTTGGCGCTGGAGCCAAGTAAAACTACATTATTCTCATAACGTATTATGGGAGAATGTATCAGGAAGTATCCAGATGGGTGGTTGCCAAAACTATGGCCCTTTTCTGGGTACCCTAAATATTAGGTGCCGTATTATAAGAGGGATCCAAAAAGGGACCATACTTTTGACAACCAACCATATTCAAAACAATGCGAAGTTCCTGCGGTCCTCGGGCTTCTCCGGAGGTAGCGAGAAGCGTCGGCCCGTCTCCATCTCACTGAGGTACCTGGCCAACTAAAGGGCTTCTTTTCTTAGGGTTTAGGGTTTAGGGTCTAGGGTTTAGGGTTAATTAGGGTCCGCCTCTATTACCTCCGATATGATGAAATCCTTAATAAGGATCTCATCATATTGAAACAGGGCGGCCAAACTCCAAACAGACCCATTCATTTTGAGAAGATCTCCCTCCACATCTAGGCACGTTGCAGGTCTCGATGTCAGGTACCACACTATAACCCCAGACCCCCAGACCCGATTTTGGAAATGACATAGGGTAGATCCAGGAACAGTCGGGCTACAGAGTTTGTACTGATGATCGTTCAGACCTGTCAGCTCCTGCACAAAGGGTTTTGAGCTTGATGCAATAACGCATAACCTGAAACCCTAAACCGAGTGAGGTGGTGCGATGTTTAAGACAAGTTAGCACAAGCCCACATGAGCTAGAAATCCGAGCCTTAGCACCTGCTTGCAATCCAAGTACTAAGACAGCAACATTCGCAGGACTTGTCATGACTTATTCAGTGACGTTTTCGGTTTCCAACGATTTTCTAGAGTTTTGTTGATGAGATTCGTGAATACTGCGATTCAGAATGTGCTTAGATATGCCCGAAGCAGGTACCAACCCGCATTGAAAGAGACCCTCACTGATGCAAGCTCATTTTGCCGAGCGTGTTGCGGCGGCCGGGGTCAACTAAATGCCCCTGCTGCCTAAGTCAGGCTCGCTCTGTCCATGCTCTGAGTATCGCGCTGTAATGAGGGCTTGACAACTAAGATACCAGTAAGGGTTCTTCATATCACAAGCTTAGGACTCAGTATTCAGGGCCTGTTGGGCCCCGTCCTTCATGGATCTAGACTTTTTGCTTGGGAGGTTGCTTGCGCAGATATGCTTCCAGGATCAACGTCAGCTCCCTCCCCTTCTCGTGGATGTCGATTTGGCTCTCGGGAAGCAAACAAGACTCCTGAGGTGTTGGCATACAATTTAAGCCGATGTTGATGAATCAAGACCCCAAAAGTTTCAAGCACTTTCCCGGGCCAGCTTTGGGCTGCAGGGCGCGTTAAGTGCAACGTGGATTTTGCGTGGTGGGGGGGAACCTCTGAAATTCAAAGCAATCATTCTCAGGCCTCGAAACTAGTAGCCGCGCTTTACGTGATCACAAGCTCAGATTGAAGGCTGACGGCTTGGCCAATATAGGTTTAAGGAGTCCTCAAATTTTCAGGGCCTAGGGGCGCATATCACCCAGAGATTTGGCGTGTGGGAGCCAAGCCCAGAAACCCAAATTCCGTACCACGTTGGATTAGGCCTGGAGGCAGAATTTATTGCTTCACGGACCCTTTAAGGACAGGTCAACTTGCAATAATGGAAAAACCCTGTAATCGAAACAGACCTTGCGCCCAGTGCGTTTGCTACCCCCGTTCGCACATCAACCCCGAATGTCCTTTATCAAAAAATCATGCTTGGAAGTCAGGATTCCTTGATACGCTGCTTTATGTGTTTTAGCAGAATCCGAGCTGGGGCAAATTTGCCAAAACGGAAACACCCTAGAAAGACACAGAACAAATGTGCAGCCACTGTGGGGTCAGCAATTCTGACTATTACTTTCTTGCTCTCTTAATCGCTTATTTTCTTGCTCTCTCGCTCTCCCTCTTAATCATGCTCTTGCTCTTTGAGGGTACGACGCAACTTGGATTCCCAAGGTCTTTTTACGAACCGAATGTCCAATAGCCAAGACTACGTGCAACGAGGACCCTGGCAATTGTTGGTAGTTGGGGGGCAAACCACGAAAACATTAAACGGGTAATGAAAAGGGCCCAAGAAACTACACGGAACGTAAGCTCTCAAAGCCGTATACGTGCAGGACGGTGTCTTGGAAGTGTGCCTTTCTTCTCGGGTGTTCTGTTGCTACAAATTCCCCAAGACATCAGCTAAAGGAAAGGAGATGGGCCAACATTTCCCTGAGCTACAAAGTAAAAAGATGTAAAATGAACAGAAGTCTTGGAGGCTGTCTCAACTCTACGTCAAAAAAATCAGGTGCTTCGCAAACCCAAGAATCCTAAACTGCCAAACCAGAAGGAATCTCCAAGCTTCCCGCTGTGCAAACCCCGGAGCTTAGAAAGTCTGGCTAGGTGACATGCACGCAAGCTCCACACACTATTACCATTGGTTTTTGAGACTCAGCGTGCATATGCGTAGGTTTCTCTGTCTGTAGATGTATGGCTGTATGCAACAATGTAATTATTCCCGACTAGGACTTGCGTAGCTGCACTTTCCAGCTCCAGGGCGCCACATCTCATACGTTTGGAAAACTGATCGCCCGCCGGCGCGCCACCCCTCAGCAAAGCGGCCATCGAAAGCGCATCCATAAGGGTCCCGAGATTTAGTGAGTGTTTCGGCTGGAGGGGTTGAGGCGTCGGCCCAAGCGAACCATGCTTATGACTAAAGACAGAGGGAAAAGTTTTTGAAGGCTGTAGAACCCTAGAGAACTCACATGCGTGCTTGGGGAAAGAATAATAGAAGTTATCCGAAAAACTATCCAAGGCCACGCTCCCTACTATGGATTTGATGTCTGTAGTTGTGTGACCGTGTTGTTTACGAAATGGTATGAATCAATGATGTAGAGTTTTGCTGAGAAAGTTCACACAGGCCGCTCCAAAGAGTAATGGGCGTGCTGCAGGCGAGGAGGGCGCACGCGATATGCCCAGAGGTCTTCAGGGCGTAAGCTAGAAAGACTTCTTAGGCCTCACAAGGATTTCATCACGGGAGCTCATCAGGGTTTGCCACGTTTGCTTTATGGGGACTGTGATTCCTTTACTTGAGGACAAGGACCACTGATGCAGCAGAACGTCCTGAAAGGAATATGTGGCGACTGCAAAGGGTAATTGGAGCCCCATGCAGAACCATAGCATGGCATACCACAACAATTTCGGGGACTTGAGTTGAGAACCCCTTAGCCACCCATCATCAGTCTTCAGGGAGCTAGGACTTTAAACCCTGAAGCATAATGCTTGTCTGCGCGCTGCACTCCTATGAATCGATTCCCAGCAGCTTGACATCTGCTAGCGGAACGGGCTGTAGACTTCTGCTCACAGCTCTTTTGCTGAATACGGACCCTCCAAAGGTCTTCAGATCAGTAAGCACAGCCTGGACGACTCTGCACAGCACTGACTGCTTCCTGGTGCAGCTCCTTAGGCGGCACACGCTTCACCTATTCCAAATATAGGGAAATCTACACCACACGCCAGATATGAGCCAGCGAGACCGACGCCTACTTGCTCTTTTTGAGTGTGGGCCGTGCATGTCGATTCTTTTGATGGTTCATCTTCTATAATTCTACAATACTGCCTTGATGAGACTGGTCCTCAGCGTGCATGAATGTCGAGTCGTCTGCCTACACGGCTTAAAAAAGGATCGCGTGGAGGGTCGGAAAGCTCATTGTCCCGGGATCCTGCCTTAACCGATACTAGGTTTGGCACCAGGGTTGCTTTGTTATGCTCTTCAGTGGAGACGGCTGAAATCAGATATGCTTAACTGCAACCCTACAGCTACCAGGTACCAGTCCTTTCTATCTCTCCTCAGGGCATCGGGCAGATCCTGACCCCTCCCGCTGGGCATATGCCTGTGCTCCGCACGCTCCAAAGTGCTTGCATCTGCAGTCCTTCTGCATTCATGGCTAGAAAGTTGTTCGGTGCTACAATCCCTATATCTTAAAAGGATAATACTGCAATGTTGAGTACTCTTCTCGTGAAGCATCAGGTTCTGCCAAACCCTGCAGCGTCCCGTGACCCATGGCAGCACCCTTCATTCATACAAGACGTACAACACTCTTTGCATGTGTATATGTACCTGTATATCCTGTACGTATGTCATATATATATATATATATGTATGTGTGTGTGTGTAAAATGTATACGTATAGGTAAAAAACCAGGATAGGGCATAGGTGAGCTCCCTAGTTATGTCATCGGATTTCACCTTGTTTGGGGATCAATTTACAAAGATTTCCTGCGGTGAAAGTGCGTAGGGCTCATAACCCGCGTAGGGCTAAGGCTCGGCAAGGGTTGGGACATCAAGCCTTGGCTGCTCAGGCTTCCAAAATGCTGATACCAGCCCATTCTTCATAACTTCTTCCAAGAACCTTCTTGGGATACGGATGTTCGGGGTGCACACGGGGAGCCCAGGTTCAAGATATACTCATTTCACAAACCTCCTAATAACCGCCGTTCGAGTAGGAACAGGCCTGGCGCACGCGAATGACATCTCTGAACGACGAAACAGCGCAAGAACATGCAAGTCCACAGGTTCAGAGTGTTCTGAAGAGAGAAAGCAGCTAGTGCAAGGCTCGGCAAGGGAGCACAAGCCATTGAAATGGATCGCCGCTTTAGGTGGTTGGCACCCAGCCCAAAAATTCAAAGCCTTGGAATGATCAAGTTGACTGAGGAAAGGGGTCCAAGTGATCCTTGCATGAGTGGATAGGCGCACTCGCTGCCAAAGCTTGAAGGCCCGTTTGGGAGTCTCATTGTAGAAGCCTACGATGGGATCCAAAGACATGTGTTAGGCACATGCTGCCTGCCAACAGCTTGGATTCGCCCAATCCCATGGTCACGCTTTCCGACATTTGGGCATCAAAACTCCTGAGGAATGCAATTTACATATGTAATTGTGGAATGAAGTCCTGATATCTTATCAAATAAAAGATTACTGTAAGCCTTGAACCCGGGTTGTCGTGTAGGATTCGCGGTGGGTTTTGGCAACGACATCTTTACGCACCGGCCGCTCTGCCGGACTACCCTAGACTAGAGCAAGCAAATCTGCCAATGTGTGCGGAGATCTGAGTCTGATTGCAAGAGCTGTCACGTGAAAGAACTTGAGGGAAGCAGCATGAACATCTGTTTTCCAAAGGAGAAGGAGATTTCCACATCAACTCCTATCAAAATCCATCGCAGCAGTCAGAACCCCACCACATAAGAAGTTTCCAGTCAGTTTACAGGGAGGGTAGCCAACATGCAGTATCA